TATTCGTTAAAAACCAACTGAAAACGAGAAAGGATCGACTTTCAGAAAAAAACTTTGTAGAACAAAAATTTCTGAAACTATAAACTAGCCTTTTGATATTTCCGCCTGCCGACGGGACATTTCGTTGTTGACATAAACAGTCGCCCGCGACACTTTCTTCAAAATGTTTCTTATTTTGACAACTCAAGTTTTTGTTCACACTTGCTGTTTTGAGGTTTTGTCCGGTCGGTGGAAATCCGCCTCTAGGTGAATCGTTCAAGATTCAGGGTTCCATAATTTAACGATTTACTATTTAATTGGTTGATCTACAATCGTACATGTTATTCACTTGGCAACAGGAGCCTTTGTTAGTTTAGCAATGATAACGGCCAAGTTCATTGTTTTAGAATTATATCATTCCCATTGTTTATCTTATCTTATATTTTCTTTTCTGGGCCAACGAGTTCACTGATTTGAAATCATTATCTTCAATATATGAAAATTTTGTCATTCTCCAATGATTATTTTATATTTATGGAAGATTATACTCCAGCAGCTTTCCCATTGATTTATATTTGTTTACTTAATATATTGTGAGAGGTGAAATTCCCGGAAAAGCAGAAAGAATAGTTGACTCCTCCATAAAAACTGTGTTTCACAGAATATATTATCCAGAATATTTCCAATCTTGTCTCGCAGAATTTTATTGACCATAATGTTTTTTCCAAATCGTGTTTCCTGATTTCTGCTGCATACATTTCTTTTCAACCTGCAGTTTTCGAATAAAATAAATAAACTGATACACTTGCACGTTATTATGGGTATGTTTTATTACCCATTTTGATGTAACAGGTATGGTACCTCGCAACATATTATAGTACGATGGAAGTAAGGCAATAACTTGAAAATATATTCAATAGAAGGTTAATTCGTAGATATTCCGATATTTTTTGGCCAGCTAGCTCGCCAGATTTAGCCCCATTAGACTTTTTATTCTGGGGTTACTTAGAAAAAATATATATCAAGACAAACGTAGAACAGTTGGAAACAATCTTTACAGAAAAAAATTCAGGGTGTAACTCCCAATGTAATTGGAAATGTATTGGGAGAATTTTCTTCTAGAACGAAAGGAAACCTATATTGTAAGAGGAAGCAGGTACGTTGAAGCAATACTGAATTGATAATGAACTCTTACAGGTCTCTCACGCAATTAACATTATTAGCACTGTATTTACGTAGTTGATAAATAATTATTGTAAAATAAATTATTTAGAAGTCGCCAATATCCCCAGTTGGGTTCCTCTACTATAACACGTATTTAGCCACTAATATTTCCATTATTTGTACAGTATCGTTTTTTTTTGTAATGATTTCCAGGATAGGAATTGCACCTTAAAAGGCAAGACCTCGTTAAACCTTAGCTCACCCAAGTTTTGACCTACGAGGATTGTAATTCATAGGAGAACGACAGCTGGTTAACGGAAAAAACAGATCTTTCCAAAAATTGATCTCTACTAAAAAAACACCCCTGTCAGACTATAACAGTATTTTTCTCTTTTTTTAGGTTTTCATAAACAACGAATGGCAAAAGTCAAAATCCGGCGAAACTTTCCAAACCATCAATCCTACAACAGGTCGACCCATCACAGAAGTTCAAAGGGGTGGCAAAGCGGATGTAGATTTGGCTGTAGAGGCGGCTAGTGAAGCATTCAGATTCGGTTCGCCATGGAGGACGATGGACGCCTCCCAGAGGGGTCGCCTCCTGTACAAATTGGCCGATCTCGTTGAGAGGGATGCATCATACATTGCAGTGAGTATCATCATCCATATGTATGGGGAATTCAAAATGAGCGATACTCCCTCTGGTGTCGTATTAGGAACTAGACAAGAGTACGTTGTTTTCCTAGGTAGACAATAATGAGGGTGTATTTTTTTCGCTGTTTTAATAGTAATAATAATAATTCCAAAAAAGAATGTACCTACCATATTCAGTGACCTACGCCCTATCAGCATTTTGCCTTCATTCTCTAAAATATTCGAGAAAAATGTTTACCGTCATGTAAGAGCTTTTCGTAATCGAGGATCTTGCGAGATTCAGAGATCAATCAAAAGTCATCATTTTAGTACTGCTTGATCAAAGTACTGCTTTCAATTTAGTTAATTTCGATTTACTCATCAACAAGCTCAAGTTCGTAGGATGACATTTCTCGGATCAGGCCGATCACAGAGGGTCAAACTGGATGATTACTCATGTTCATCCCCAAAAGAAACAATCTCAGGTGTACCGCAGGGAAGTATTTTAGGACCCTTGATGTTTTCAGTGTTTATTTTTGATCACCCCACTTTATTATCACATACGTAAGTCTAATAAAAACATTTTCAAAAACTAGTTCAAATTATTAAAACGAATATTCACTCCAAAGAATCTGAATCAGTATAATACTTTAGTAAACAGCTTTCAAGTGAAGATAATCATTATTGAAAATCAAGCTAATGAAAATGACACTGATAATTCCATGTCTGAAAGTGGTATTATATAAATATAATATGTAATAAATCAACATTTAACATAACAAATAATAGCAAACAGAGCCTGGATTTGTTGATAAATTTCATAAGCTCAGTCTTGTTCTGTAAATAATTCCAGAAGTCTTATCTTTGTTATTCAATGATACGGTTACCATAAGTTCACTGAAGTTGTGAAATTGCATTCGCTTTGAAAAAAGGTAAAAATTCGGCTTAGCGTACCCCCGCTAGGTGACTAGCTTGTATATGAATCGACATAACTTTTGATTATAAGTCGATTGACATGACCCCTAGCGTCCGGAAAGGTCAAATAAAAAAGTCAGGGTCCGCAGAGGTCAAATGATAAAGTTGTTCCAAATAGCTTAAAAACACTATATTTCCATGAAAAGAGGCTCCGCACCTGACCTAACCTAACCTAACCTACCTACCTAACCTAACATAACCTAACCTTGACCATACATGAACATGCTGACTGTTTAGCCGTGAATGACATCGTAGCGCAACCTTTCTGCTTATACTTCGGGCATCGGAAGCGTCCAACACCCGGGTCTTCCTCGATGTCACTCATGCCACACCTATGGCTGTTGCACTTTTTTGTAGAACGAAGAAGGCCTTGCTATTGAGTCCAAGTGATACCGTCCATCGCTGTCTTCGGAAAAGAATTCAAATTCCAAACTGACGACTGAAGAACAAGTAGCGTCGCAACGCTGATATAGCATTCTCCGACTTTTTTTTATTTGACCTTTCCGGACGCTAGGAGGGGTCATGTCAATCTACTCAAAATCAAAAGTTATGTCGATTCATATACAAGGTAGCCACCTAGCGGGGGTACGCTACGCCGAATGTTAGCCCGAAAAAATTTTGGGCTCCTCTGCCGAATGTTGGTCCGAAAAAATTTTGGGCTCCTCTGCCGACTGTTATTTTTTGACCTCACCAGAAATTTACTTGACCTTACTCGCGAAAAAATCAACTTCGCGACCTTGGTAGACAAATAACTATTTGTTTTTTTTTTATTCCAAAACTATCTGTCGCTCTGACAGCTTATTTGCTTAAATTATACAGTACTGCAGTATGCAGTATTCCGCATACATTATTAATGAATTTCAGAAGACATTTGGTGTTCGGCTAAAATTGTCATTATTGAGTCAATAAAATGTATTTTCTATGGGGACTGGTGATATTTGAATTATTAATCACTCGGAAACAGCGTTTACAAATAATAAAATTTATTAACAACACCAACAAATGAACAAACAGAAAATAACAGTGTAACCTTGTGTCGAGGAGAATCAGAATTAGCATTAGTTTCCGGCCAAAATCCTTGATCAGAATGAATACCTCGGCTAAGAAAATGTGTTCCCAGTTAACTCTTGAAAAATTATCTCTCACAATGCTCGGGGTCATAAATTTAGTCAAGAAAGGTCAACCACTTGGGCCCTTGTCTTAATGCATAAAAGTTTTAACTATGAGTACCTACTCGAAACAGCCCAAATGGTTTCGTTCTAAATATTCATCTGTTTTTCGGCAATAAACTCTCGTTTCAAAAGAAAAGAACTTTCCAAAGATATGCAATGAACGATACAAAAATGCTAAGTAAAAATTAAAATTAAAGATTTAACATAAAAAAACAAGCTGATGGATATTTTGGACGACTCCTCGATAATAGAATTATGAAAAGTTAATTTCCTAACAAGAATTTATAATACAAAAATAAAAATCAGTAATGAAATGAAATTTTTCTAAACTAAATAGTTGTAAGGAAAACCCTACATTTCAAATTAGATTATCGAGTGTTATATTTATTAATGAGTGATTTTTTTCTGGTATCTTTTTGGCAAGACTGTTTTTGACAGATCACGCGTGAATCGTGTCTTGTGTCATTGTCAAACTTGTTCAGTTTGGTCTATAATTCAACCATGAATCGACTTACGAATGAACGTCGCTTGCAAATTATTGAATTTTATTATCAAAATTCATGCTTGGTGAAGAAAGTGCATCGTGCACTTATTTCAATTTATAGGCAGTTTCGTCAGCCTACTGAGGGAGCTATTCGGAAGCTTGTGACTAAATTTTGAACCCAGTTTACATTATTGGACACTAAACCACCAACACGCATACGTAGAGTGAGGACTGAAGAAAATATTGTGGCTGTATCGGCCAGTGTTCGTGATGACCGTGAAATGTCGATTCGCCGCCGTTCGCAGCAATTGGACCTCTGTTACTCCACTACGTGGAAAATTTTGAAAAAAGATTTGGGTGTAAAGCCTTATAAGATACAGCTGGTGCAAGAATTGAAGCCACACGACCTCCCACAACGTCTAACATTTGGTGAATGGGCGCTGGCAAAGTTGGAGGAAGATCCACATTTTTATCGAGTGAAGACCAGACACAAACATTGCAAGAGCTACCGATGCATCCCGAAAAATTCACTGTTTGGTGTGGATTATGGGTCGGTGGCATCATGGGCCGTACTTCTTCAAAGACGACAATGACCGAGCGCTACCGTGTGATGATTGACGACTTTTTGCTGTCCAAAATGGAAAAATTGGACATGCCTGACATGTGGTTTCAAAAAGACGGTGCCACATGCCGCACGGCACGCGAAACAATGGCCCAATTAGAAGCCATCTTCGGTGAACATTTTATCTCACGTTTGGGGCCCGTCAATTGGCCTCCTAGATCGTGTGATTTAACACCTTTGGATTATTTCTTGTGGTGTCATGTTAAGGCTCGAGTCTACAGGGATAAACCAGCAACGACTGACGCTCTGGAAGCCAATATTGAAGCATTTATACGTGAAATACCTGTCAATACGTTAGAGAGGGTGTGTCAAAATTGGACTATGCGCATGGGCCATCTAAAGCGGAGCCGCGGACAACATTTGCATGAAATCATCTTCAAACATTAAATTATAGTGATCGTTCTATCTATTCCAATAAAGGTTTCATCAATTTTTTCAAATTTTTTGTGTTGTTTTGAAAATAAAGTCCTATACCTTTTAAAAAATCACCCGATATAATTACAGAGTCTGGAATCTTTGGACAACGGCAAACCCTACTCCAATTCCTACAACGTCGACGTCCTCGGCAGTGTCAGCGTGCTCAGATACTACGCCGGTTGGGCGGACAAGATCCACGGCAAAACCATCCCCATGGACGGCAACTTCTTTGCGTACACCCGCCTAGAACCGGTCGGTGTTTGTGGCCAAATCATCCCCTGGAACTTCCCCGTCTTGATGTTCGCCTGGAAAATAGCGCCCGCCCTGTGTACTGGCAACACGATCGTGATTAAGCCCGCCGAGCAGACGCCCCTCACGGCGCTCTACATGGCCGAGCTGATCAAGGAGGCCGGATTTCCCGCCGGAGTGGTCAACGTAGTGCCCGGTTTCGGAGACGCCGGAGCCGCCATCGTGGATAATCCTAAGGTGAGTGAATGCCGTTATTTCGAAGATAAAAATGATAAAATTGTTTCATCAAAATGGATGATCTGTTCGGACAACGTACCGCGCGCTTCACCCATTTTACGGCCGCCATAATCGTCCTATCGAGAGGATTATTCGCAATGTAGTCTGAGTCCACTGGTTCAGTAAACGGTCAACCAACACCCGTACGTCGACGAAACGCAAGAACTGTCGAAAACATCACCGCTGTCTGTGAGAGTGTGCAGGAGGATCCGAGGCAGTCGATTTCGCATCACTCACAAGAACTCGGCCTTTCGCAGGCCACAACTTGGCGAATTTTGCGTCGTGACTTGGGCCTGCACCCGTTCAATATTAAACTGACCAAGTAACTGAAGGTAAAGAAAAACGACGTCTTTTCGCTGAATGGGTTTTGGAGCACTTGGCAATTGAACCTAATTTTCATCGAAAAATCATCTTCAGCGATGAGGCCCATTTCTGGAGGAATGGGTTAGGGTTAGGTCTAAAGTGAGTGGGTCAATTCGACCCTCCACCGCAACCCGCAAGGAATTATTGTGGCTCACACCTATTCACACTCGACTTGTATGGTGAGTGGTCTTTCAGGTCAGATGGTTAGAGTACGGCTTTGCGGTACTCAGCGGGGCAGGCACAAAGTAGGGGAGATCCTTGTACCTTGGGACACTTTTTTTCGAACCTCCATAATTTGAGCAAGAACTGACTTGAAGCATTGATTTTTTTACCACCGTATAATAATATGATCATCAAAATATTCTTGTGATAGGAAAATACACACGATGATTTATTTGTGAGAAAATAAAAAAAACTGATTGGGTTTTATGTCCCAAGGTACAAAGTGAGGTACTTTGGGACACCGATATTTGTACCTTGGGACAAATATCTTCGGGATTTTTATTGAAATTTAAAAAACATAATACATTGTAATAAGCCGTAAAAATATAACCCATATATGCTTATTTGTCAGATAAAAAAGTGAAAACTGAAAAATCAACTCTCAGAGAGCATAAGTAATAGAAAGTCTAGTTTTTTTAATAGCATTTATTTAATCACTTTCTCTTAAAAATTAGTAAGAATAAAGATTTCACATATACCTAAATTAGTTTAATAACTCAACAGTTATGCTTTGGAACTTTGGTTATTACCAGTAATTAACAATTAATTTACGAACTAAGGCAGATCGAGACAAGACAATAAAATATATCCTACTTTTTTGGACTTTGGACCACATTTTTGACAATAATTATCCAAACTGGTGGAATCTTCGTGCACCCAAAAGCAACAAGTAACACATTGAATCCAGTCTTATTTACGTGATGTAACAAAATAATGTTCTCCACATCCGACACAATTATTTTCCTCTTGATCATCATCATATGGATCGTCGTCACTTTCTAAAATCACATTAGTGACTTCCTCTGAACTAGAATATTAAATTTTTTTCTTGAAAACTCTCTTTTTTACAGTCTTCATATTTTTTTGTAATGCAGCCAACTGCTCCAATTCCAGTTTTTCAGGAGTATCGGTTAAGACTCTTGTTTTCTCACGTTTTTTTCAAAGCTATTGCATACTGATATGCTAGTTTCAAGAATTGCTCTTTAGGTATGCCATAATGAAATTTGGATGCTGTTGATAAATACTCGACTAATTGCTATTCCTCTTCATCATTCAAGACTCTCTTAACAGCATCATTGGGTTTATAAATGACAGTTGTAGTTTCGTTTTCTTTATTCAGCTTCATGACCTATTGAAGATTTTGAAACCTTAAACTCTTCGGCAGCTTTTTGGATAGAACATCGTTTTTCAATCACCTTTTTAACGGCATTTTCAACATTTTCTGCAATTGGTTGGGGTCTAGTAACGTTATTTTTACTCCGAGGCATCTAAAATAACAGTAAAAAGAATAATCGTAAATCCAGTATTTAACTGCTACATAAGTTATTACAAATGTAGTTGTCACCTAATTATACTCATATCAGATTACTTACTTTAAAAATTTTCAGGAAACACAACAATTATTAGGCATATAAAAAAAGCACGCGAAAAATTTGACAACGCACCGCAATGACGTGACGAGTCAAAATGGCCGACTTTTTTTGAGTGCAATCGAATTGGTGTTTTAAATGACCGCTAGATGTTGCTTGATGCAATTCTCGGGCTGTTCATCATTTTCTAAACAGAGGCGAAACACACTGTCTTTCGACAGTCTGAGTCTCTGCATATAACGATTCAAATGATAGTAAGCAGTGAGAAGGCCTGTTAGACATCGCAGTTCATCCCTACTGTAGTCCAACAACTGTTTGGTATCAAGCTTCGAAGGGTCAATAAACACCTTGGAGTGAACCAAGAGGAGCCAATAGCTTCCAAGAGGAGCCAAGAGATGAACATGATACTCCTTGATAATGCCATTTGAGATGGTGGCAAAACGCTAACCTTAGGATAACTCTCAAATAATTTCACTGAAAAAATTACAGCAGCGATACAGCAACATAGTACTAGTTGAATATAAATATAATTAAAATGTCAGGAGTATTTTGTAATTACTAGTAATCATGTTCTCGCGATAAAAATTGAACACGTTGAACAGCAGTAAACCCTGTTTTTAATTAGGTACCTAACAATTTGATTCCGAGAAAATGAAATTGCAACATCGTTAACACCTAAAGTGAATTAAATATACGATAACTGGAATCGTCTTTTAGTTGGGTGATAATGGTCCATTAAAAAATTTGCGTGTGTCTTAAATTTTGTTTCGTCATTCTCAATGACGTAGAATTTAATATTGAAATATATATACATACATATTCGTAAAAACATTCTCAACAACAAAGCTCATATCACCTTTCTTCCTAAAGTTAAAAATGAGCGACTTATGTGGAAATATTTATTTATTTCACAAGTACAAAAAAATGTCTGTTTTGGCAAATAAAACCTCATGATTGTTCGTACACCCATTTTTGATACTTATACGAATGACAATATTTCATTACTAGCTACTGTCAACTACTGTTTGAATATTCTTCAAAATGCCGTTTTCCCATCAAGAAAAAGTGATATGTTGGACTACTTGGTTTGACAGAAAAATAGCATAAGAGCACTCCAACACTACAGCAATTCGTTCCCCGATCATGAATTACCTAGTTTCGTCAATTCAGTAACAATGAAAAAGTTTTTGAGATAAGGAGAACTAAAAAACGTTTTGTAATATCAGAAGATACAGAAATTGACGTTTTAGACTACTTTGAGGTTAAATCCAAATAATTCCACCCGCACATAATTTCAGTGGCGTGAAAAGAATGTTGCCACTGTTAAGTAGCCTCCTCGTTCACCAGACATGACACCTCTAGATTTTTATCTGTGTATTTTGTACACCTCTGAAAAATGAGGTGTACAAAATAAAACATAATAATGTAGATGAACTGAAAAATTATATTGAAACTATAATTAATAAAATTGATGACCGAATTATATTGAAAGCAACACGTAGTGTCAAGAGAAGGGCCCAAATCGGTGTTTTTTAATATTTATCCGATATTTTATAGCTCTTTATTCGCCAAAACAATGAAATTTTTTGTACACGTGAAAGAAAGAAATATTTCCACATAAGTCGCTCATTTTCAACTTTAGGAAGAATAGTGGTATGAGCCTTGTTGTTGAGAATGTTATTACAAATAGATAATGAATGATTTTATTTAAAAAAATATCATTNATAATATGTTAGCTATGTGATTTATAATTTGTAAAAGCTCATGGCTGTACATTTTAGTCAATTTTTATAAGATTGGAATTTTATCTTGTTAACTTGTATTTTTTTGTAAATCTTATTTATCTACAAGCATTTTTTTAGAAACTATATTGACGAATCTTATCCTCTCAAACCTATTTTAGAAATTGTATTGACGTGTCTCAAAACTGTGTGTTTCTTGAGACTAATAAAATTATTATTATTACTAGATGGTAGAGGAGTTTTTTTCACGTTTTTTGTGACTGGTTTCAATTGATTCCCTGTAGCTTTTCTTTTGTATGTTATCTAAATGTTTGCATTTACTTTCAAATGTAAAACTGTATTCATACTATTTCTTCCAGGTGGACAAAATCGCATTCACGGGCTCTACTGAGGTGGGAAAACTTATCCAGAAAAATTCAGGAAAATTCAACCTCAAGCGTACCACGTTGGAGCTTGGCGGAAAAAGCCCCAACATCATTCTTGCGGACGCCGACATCCAACATGCGGTGGAAACCGCCCACTTTGGCATTTTCTTCAATCAAGGTCAAGTTTGCTGCGCCGGTTCCAGAACCTTCGTCGAAGACAAAATATATGACGAGTTCGTTGAGAGATCCGTCGAAAGGGCGAAGAAGCGTGTAGTTGGTAAGTTTGTTATGTGAAGGAATCGACCGACATTGAATACTTTATTGTGAGATTTTCATTCAACTGCTACTGAAGAAGCTATCGTAAAGCAAATTCTTGTTGCGTGTAGTTTCTTCAGCGTTTCACTAGAGTAAAGAGGCAATAAAAATTCAGAAACACAGGGATTATTTCAATAGAAAAGAAGAGGCAATGGACATTGATAAAATCTGGCTACCTGTCCTTGATGGTACACAAACAAGATCTAGTAATCCAATTAAGAGAAACCAAGCCCGCCCGCTAATTATATAAAACCAGAGTCAAATACCAGAGCATCGTAGTTGATGTGTTGGGGACAACTTGAGAATCAAGTCGGGCTCTACGACCGTTACCACATCGCCTTTGATGTCTACCGCAGAGACAAAACGTCAGATATACAAATCTGCAGATCACGGCCAGAAAAACCCTGATAATAGCTTTCACACTCTTATCTAAAAGACTTAATTGCTAGTGAATATTTGACTAGTTTTAAAATGCTACAAGATGTTAGTGAGTATTTGATATGCAATGTTTGGAAATATGTTTGGAAAAACTAACCTCAACATCTCTAGTTTCAAGATTAAGTTGTAAACTACTCCTGGCTACATCTCATTGAAGATGATATTTCCGTGTTTGTGAAAGCCATTTGTTAGAAAGTTTGTAAACAATATCAGTTTATATTTTCAAAAAAACAATTAGGGGAGTCTTTTTGAAAACTCTTTCGCTCATATACATGCAAATGCTTCCAGGAAATCCATTTAGCCTGAACACGGAACAAGGTCCTCAAATAGACGAAGAACAAATGAATAAGATTCTCTCTCTCGTCAAAGAAGGAGCACGTCAAGGCGCCAAGTTGGTTCATGGTGGAGAAAGACATGGAGATGAGGGTTACTTTGTTCAGCCCACAGTGTTTGTCGATGTTGAAGACAACAATATCATTGCCAAAGAAGAGGTGTGTAATTTGTTCTCTATGAAAATGTTCATGCTTTTGTATTGATCGTAATAATTCATATATTACTTTATAGATTTTCGGGCCAGTTCAACAAATTNGTGTACCAATTTAATCGAATTAAACGACTGCATGCATTTATTTTTATGATATTTAGTATGTTATAAAAATATCCCTAGACTTTTCCGATGTGTGTATATATCTATTATAACTTGCAATGTACCACGCTAATAACCCTCTGTGGTTGATGCGGTTCTTGCTTTAATAAAAGAAAAAAAAATTAGGGGTGTCTTTTTGAAAACTCTTTCGCTCATATACATGCAAATGCTTCCAGGAAATCCATTTAGCCTGAACACGGAGCAAGGTCCCCAAATAGACGAAGAACAAATGAATAAGATTCTCTCTCTTGTCAAAGAAGGAGCACGTCAAGGCGCCAAGTTGGTTCATGGTGGAGAAAGACATGGAGATGAGGGTTACTTTGTTCAGCCCACAGTGTTAGTCGATGTTGAAGACAACAATATCATTGCCAAAGAAGAGGTGAGTAATTTGTTCTCTATGAAAATGTTCATGCTTTTATTTGTGTTGATCGTAATAAAATATATTTCACTTTATAGATTTTCGGGCCAGTTCAACAAATTTTCAAATTCAAACACCTGGACGAAATAATCGCAAGAGCGAACGACACCAACTACGGTCTTGCGTCCGCTATTATCTCTAAAGATATCGACAAAATCAATTACCTCACGCAAGGAATCAGGGCCGGTACAGTTTGGGTAAATTGTTACAACGTGATATGCACTCAAGTTCCGTTTGGCGGATTCAAAGATTCAGGATTCGGCAGAGAACTGGGAGAGAACGGACTACAGCAATACAGTGAGGTCAAGTCAGTTATTATGGCAGTGCCCAACAAAAGTTCATAAAAAAATAGTCATATCCTTTTTTTTTTGTTAAGTTCAATTTTTTTATATCGCATCAGGAACATGTTTGCTGAAGTGTAATATGATTTTAAGGCAACTTCAGGATACTGGGAAGTATATTTTGGCGCCCAACGTGGGGCACTTCGATTCATTCTCTGTTATTACCATTATAACTTACATGTCTTCTTTAAAACGAGAACATTCAAGGAATAACATAACTATCTCGGTTATTATTAGTGTTCACTATTGAATGAATCCAATTCCTTTGGTAAATCTATAATTATTGTTATAAATAATATATTTTTACTACTTCAATTGTTGCATCATTTACTCACCTTACCTCAAATCAATATACATTAAATAAAAGAGATCAACTTCAGTCAGTGTATCGTCTACTACGTATTTTCAAGATGATGAAATTATTGAATTACCAACCACCATTGGCTACATGCTAATTTGTTGTGTGAAAATCTTCAGAAATATTTACCTAATGATGTTATTTAAACAAGAGTTTAAAAACAAGTTAGATATATTTGTGTACTTCTTGTTTACCATTGAATTGGGTATTCACAAATTTGAAAACCGTTTCCAAAGAATTAAATTGATTCGGATTTGGCAGTGAAAGAACTGTATTGAAGAAAAGTATATTTGGCCTTGAAAAATTTAATCTTATCAATAAAGCACTCATGATAAAAATTATAGGGAGTCTAGGTGTGACCATCTGAGGATAAAATATACAGATAAAAGTAACATTGTGTTTTAGGATTTCTGGAAAATTATTGTATAAGCTGTAGAGAAACTAGTACTCAATATAAAAATATAATTTAAAAAGTCTACACATAACAATGTCATGAAGCATCATAAACAAAAATCGGAATAACAATTTGTAAACTAAACAAGTATAATGTACATTATGAGAGGTAGCACCAGGTTGTCGACTTGCGTTGTTTTAGCTTCAACCAAAGAAGTGACAAAAATCGCAAGGAATATTTTCAAACATTGCTCAGTGGAAAAATTTGGTACAAAATCTGAAAATAATACAAAAGAGAAGTTTTATTATTTCTAATATTAAAGAGTTTCTTTCATTCATGTCTAGATAGTGCAAATCTATTCTTTTTGAAAATAATAGTTCTTATCAACACAATGAATGAGACTGAATCCACTTAAGAAAAAAAAAAGCAAAAAAATTCAGCTCCACAAATTAATTTGATTTTTGTTGGGACCCAAAAACAAGTCACTAGCAAATGGCATAATAGTTTTTTAACTATACTCTAAAATGATTCAATAACCAGTGATTATACTATGAATATACCAAAAGTTTTTTTTTCGACCGACTATCTTAGAAGACAGCAAAACAATTGAAGTAAGTAGATTTTTATTATGAAGGAAGGCATATACTTACTGAACACAATTAAAAAATACACAAGTCCCATTTGAGCTAATATGCATCCAACGGTCCCTTCAAATGTTTTTTGGGATCCTAAAATTATTCAATATTATATTTACAATAATTCCCATCCAAAGCCGCATCATGTAAGCTAAACAGTTAACCTTTGGTTTATAAAAATCATAAAATGAAAGTAGGAATAACTTCAAAGTTCAAAAACCTATTTTTTCATTCAGGAAAAACTACTCTTTAGTCTAAATCAATAATCCTAGTGGAAAAATGAAAAAAATCGTAATGGAGACAATTTCAACTGACCCTTCAAAAATCTCATTTGACTAAAATTATTTAATTTTTAGTACCCATTTGAGGGGGATGGCAATTTGTCTTATACATGCAATAAATTTAAATTTAACTACTCATTCCACAGAAATTTTTCGAGCGAAAATACTTCAATATTCGTAAAAAAAGTGTTGGGTGGGTCAGGCCTGTGTCCTAATCACTTGACAATTTAATCACATGTTTGAGAAACACCACTTGTCGGCAAACTTAAACATGTGGTGAAATCTTAATTTTTTTAATTCTGACAAATTTTGAACTTTCTAACAGGTCTGTAAAAAGCCGGGACATTTGACAATTTGTTATTGAATTCATTATGATTGTAGGTATTGAAATGTCCAAGTAATTGGAAAAGCCATGTATCATGAGAAAGTCGTTAAAATGCTCTCTCTCATATATGAAAAATTTTTACCTGGCCAAAAGTGCTTCCCGTAAGTCGATCCAACGATACTGGCTGCAGTATCGCCAACACCAATAGATAACAATCCGCTCATTAGCGGTATCAAACAAAATATAGACGAGTCAGTTACATCACACGGAGACGGATGTATCCAAATTGGCAGGGAACAGCCAACGATAAGGTAGATCGGTGTCAAGGCTAAGTTGCCGACATCTTTTTCATCACTAAACGCTAAAAAACCATCCTGTAGGTGCCTTCCAAAGGGAGGCATCTGCAAAATACGCAATATCTGAAAGAAATAGTCTAATTTAAATAAAGAACAATTAATAGTTCAAAAATTTCCAGTCAGAAAAAGTAGATATCATGAGCTCATGTATTTTGAATTATAAGTGACCTATTTCCACCAAGAAGAGAATTGGTTTAAGACAATTTCTAATTCAACTACAAGCTGTTCTGCATCGTGATATTGTTGTGTTGTCAGCAAACATTACATGAACATCATCTAAAATTGTGGGAGGTCATTCATATATGAAAGAAATAGCAGAGGGCCAAGAACCAGACCGTGTAGTACACCTAGTTTTACCGCCTGATCATGTGAAATAGAGTTGGTGCGTTTTACTACCATTTGTTATATGTGATTGTATCTAATTTATCATGTTGGAAATTCTAGAGGCCACAGTTCATTTATTAAAAACTTGATACCTACGGGATCAATAAAAGTATTTGGCAAGCCGAAAAATGATGACAAAACATTTGTTCTTTGTCTCTTACATATGTAATTCAGTGAATATCACGACGCAGTTCTTATCGATTTTTTTGTCTGAATCCATGCTGAGAAGTTACTAAATAGTTATTTTCCAAGTGATCTATCATTCGTGTTGACACTTGCAGAGTATTCAATACCTTCCTCAAGTAAGAACTGAAAATGAAACTCTATTTCTTTTACAAGTGAAAAACTTACAATAAAATGTTTCTTGAATAAGTTATGGATTTCATCAAGTATCGGCCGATTCCATTACATTCCTGTAATATAACCTACCTCCAATGCGAAAAACAATCCTGTAACTACTCCACTTGCAAGGTACAGAATAGAACATCTATGTAGGAGCCCCGGAATGTAAACAATGACTGCTAATAGGTGGAATATTTTCCTTGTACCAGTAGAAGCTTTATGAACACTGAAAATTTGCTTGTTAATTGCCCAAACAGCTAAACCAGTACACAAAACCCAATATATCATCAGTTTTATCTAAAATGAAGTGAAAAACTTTTTAACAATCTACAAAGAACTTCCCCAAAGTGAACATTGAATGGAATGGAATGGATAACTTACAGTGGACCAATCATAACACAACTGCTGAAAAATCCATAAAACAGGACTCCGCTCCAGTAGAATATGTAAAGGTAAGAAAATCACAAATACGATAGTGAAAATCACAACAGAATAAAAAGGCTTAGAACTTTTCAGACTGAAAAAATAAGACGCCCATGCAATTACTGCAATCCCTAGGAATCCCAGCTGAAACAAAGCATAAAATGAGTCGAATTTTGTATTATTTCAATTATTTTCCCTCACCTGGATAATTAAAGTAGAAATTTGCATATTACTTTTGAAAGGTTCGGCTCTCATTCCATGACTCAGGAAATTCAAAATAGTGAAATACAATAAAATTATGGCTGCTTGGCTTGCTATTCCAGCTTCTCCAAGTGTGAAGCATTCTTTGAACTTCTCTAGGAGGAACTTATATGTCTTGAGGTATAGAAAAGTACAACAGACTCCACTTAATAAGGCAAAGAATAGACCTGCAAGAACACTGAACTGCAATATTTGGCCTTGTTTGAAAATGGCGTTGAAAACATGAATAGTCAGTAAAGTGAAATTGGGTTTTTGCCTAATTCAATGGAAATACTATTCCTGAACTGAGGAGTCCTCTTGACTTACATTTATCAGCCAAGCTGGTATCATCAAAAGATGATCGCCACAAATCTTAAACAGTAAGTTAAATAATCGAAAATAAACATGTTATAATATAAAATGAAATGAATCTGTTCAACTAAAAAAATCCAAGAGAGTTTCATGTTTCATTCACAGACACAACCAATATCCATGTGGCAAATGCTCACTTGAAGTAATGCAGAGATAAAAAACATAAAGATAACAAATCCAATTTCAGACCTAGTAACTTGAGTAAATAAGGACTATTTATAACTGGTATGAGATAACAATGGATAAATTTGTTGAAAAACTCTGTCATGAGAATAAATTAATGCAAATTCCAACACACTATACTCAGAATTCATTGCCCCAATTCTGTAGTATTAATATAATGTAACCTTTGTTGAAGCAGATAAAAAATACTGCTGAACTGATTGCACTGGCGAGAACCGTCCATAAACTGAATACAGTCAGTTTTTGCTCTTTCAACTTGTGGACCACAATAATTGTTGATGTGAGCAATATACCAAAACATACTAATGAAGCTAATTTGTAAGTGGGTGTTGAAGTAATTGGATGTTTGAACGTCGATATTATTATCGAAAGTGGTAGAAGAAATAACGCCCATAAACCACTATCAGCACCGGGCCTGAAAAAATACTACAGTGAAGAAATTAGATGATTTTTCAAAGGTAATTCTACAAACCTCACTTTCATATCATTAATTATAATAAAATCAGTCATTCTGAAAGAAAACAGTTTTGATACAAGTGAAGTTCCACCTTAGAATATCAGATTTTATGCAATCTTCACTATCAAGAAGAGGTTTCCACATTTTTGAATTCAATGACAAAATATGAAAATATAACCTAAAAATTATATAATGACATAACGTGTACTTTTGACTTTTAACATTGTACTACAACATTGGAAGGTTACATTTCAAACGTAAATAAATAATTTATAACTTCAACAAAAGTTTTGAAATTTGGTTCATTAATATACCGAAGAAACTCACGTCAATTTAAAAGTGAGTTTTGGTCAATTAATTTTTGAAATATGTCAGCGAGTAGACTTCAATATGAAAAAATTGTATATAATTATGTATCCATAATTTAGGATATCTTTTTCATTCGTAAGTTAGGTCTTCAATTGTATACCCCTTTTAGGTTCAATGTGTATGTTTTGTTCGTTATTGACCTCATGGCACATAAATTATACGTTTGCAGTTCCATCCGCCAATTCATGATGAAAGACACATCGTAACCTGTAAATAATAAAAATAAATATGAAGAACTACATTTCCTGAAGCATTTGAATGAATAGAACGTTCCTAGAATCCATTGAACTAATACCACAGAGTACTAATCTGTGCTAATACTTCGTATACCGTAATTTGTCAAATCACAGTTGAATAAATAGTATTTTATTTGTCAAACGGGGAAGCGTTTGGTTTTGTATTGTTGGCAACCCTCTTTGTCAAAACTTCAATCCTAGTTTCGTGTTTGAAATTTTAATTCGTGGTTTCAGTACGACATAACTGTAACTATTTGGTTGACATTAGTATGAATAAATTTTTAACAATTTGATATTGAATTTGAGAGGTCGCAATCAATTTGACATCAAGGGTAGCCACAACTATTACCTGAAATTCCTCCTCTTTTTCAGGTGAAATGTGGTCTACTGACCAAATTCATGTTTCACACACAACACTGATATTTGACATAATTGTTTACTGAAATGATTCAATATTTTTGTCACAAAGCATCTAATCTAGTGAACAAGCAATTGATGTTGACGATAGAAATCTGTGAAATATTTATTTACTATTCCTTTGTTATTACTATATACATTACTATGGAAGTCAGTGTATTCATAATTATTGTATTTTAAATATCAGTGTTGCCAATAATAAAACGTCTGAAACAGATACAACCATTTTTACGCAATAAAGTTTCAACTGACAGGATCTGAAGTGCGAAATTACGTTATCTTTAATTTTTGTGTAACGTTAAATCTGCCAATTGTAACCGTCAATGACTTGAATAACATATTTTTATTTCATTGGCACTATTACGCCAACAGAGAAACTTTTGGTATCAGATATCAAATAAAAAGTAGAAAAAATAAAAACCCCTCACATGTAGGTTGGTTGTAGAATGAGAAGTTTTCATATTGCCAACCTTCGTATAAATCCTACTTAACCTTAAACTACATTTTTTTAGAAATTTGTCATTTTGTTATTTTTAGTTAATTATCACATTAAATATGGGATAAAGGTTTTCCCCGTTTAAATATGATTACACGAGAAACTCCTCACTGTCACATCCCAAAGAAATGTTATGAATGAAAACTGAAAATGAATGATGTCAAAGAAGACTCTACTTTTAAGAGCTATATTGGAGAATCAGAATTGGAGGTAGTTGAAAATATTATTTGTTACCCCTTTATAACATTTTTTTTTCAGTCGATAACTTTGGATGATGTCCAACGAACAAAAATTCTGGATGGTATGAAATAATACTTTAACAATCAAGAAGTAACATTGATGAACAAATATATCTTTATTAAAATATGAACAGCTGGAAACTTATAAGGACATGAAGGAAGAAATTGACAATTATCAATGAAAATTCTATAAAATTTGAGTGTTTCATTCATAGAAAAACTCTAAACCGTGAATGACAGACTACTGATATAAAGTTTTATTTAGGATAGTTTTTTATCACAACTGGAGTTGAAACACTCATTTTGACAGCATCCCCCTGAAGTTCTTTCAATATGGAATATTCAGATGCAAGAATTTCACTGAATTATTCTCATCATTTTCATTCATTATATGGTGTGGAATTTTAATTTCCTTTTAACCCTGAAACAATAAGAGGCATTTCTGTTTGATTGACAATGAAAGAATCAAAATTACCAACACTGAATATTTGTGTTTCCAACTAGACAATTGTTTTATGATAAATGATTTTCTAGAATATAGAGTATAATTCAGCAATATTTTCAAATATACCATCTGTCCAAAATGGAGGGAAAGCATGGGAAAATATAAAACTGTGAAAGATATAGTTTGTTAAATTTGAAAAATGTCTATATGATGAACTTACAATAGACAATGTTACAAAATAATATAAATGCAAAATTTCTTGGTGTTTTCATTTGAGAGTAGTTGGGAGTTTATTATAAATAGAAACAAAATTGATTTTTTTCATTGCCATCAATTTTACGGTTATATATTCAAGCAACTTCAAAGATGAATGTATGCTTCTATTTGTAACAGGATGAATAAATATGCATATCTTCAATTCATATAAAGAGAAATCTAAAAGTTCAAACCCTAGACTTCACTTGTGTATTGTATGTGGAGTACCAAAACTATAAATTCGATATTTTTGATATTTTTATTTTACAAAATTACCTACAAGGTGATTATTCACGGACAATAATTATACAGTTCAATAGAAGGGTTTTCATTGATATTTAATCTTTTTTTTTCCAAATGAGATTGCAATTTCAGGTGAAACCATCGTTTACGAGGCTCCTAAGGTTCTTTTGTACCCCCCTTTGAGTGATAGAAGAAAGTACATCCCTGGTATCTTAACCATCACCACATTCAAGCTTTCTTTTGCCAGTGCTGAAGATGTGGAACCGTCAAACTGCTTCCAACAAAATCTACTGCTCGGTATAAACGATGTTTGCCTGTCTTCCATTGATGTCATTTACCAAATTGGTGATCGTAACAAGAAGAAGTTAACTCCTGGTCAAAATGTCACAGGAAAAGTCAAAGATATACTTATAGTTTGTAAAAATATGAAAAGTTTCGAGTTTAGCTTTAAAATGTGTGATAAAGATAGCGGGAAGAATGTAGTTAATGCTTTACTTCATCATGCTTATCCAAAAAGACATTCCCTGCTATTCGCCTACGACTATAAGTGAGTTATGTTGTTATTCAGGTTTCGGTCTTTCAATTTGTTTTTTTTAGAGAACCCTACGTGAATGAAACACTTAATAGAGAAGCTCGATTTTTTCTTGTTAAATCGGACTGGGAAAAAGAACTGAAGAGAACGAAATGTCAAAATTGGCGGATATCCCAAGCCAATTTCAATTTTCACATATCTCCTATGATGGTTGAAACTATCATAGTGCCTCAATCCGTCACTGATACTATCATCAAAGCAGCTGTGGAAAAATTTTGTTGCAGGTTTCTTCCTATATGGGTAAATATACCAGGACAATAATGTAGAACCAAATTCAAGAGACTTCTTACCTGTTTTCTTCATTAATTCTAGTCAGCTGCTGTAAACACATTTATATGATGAAGTAGCTCGATACAAAAATTGGTAGTTATTTTATCTGAAAGTCAGTTTGAAGTTGACTGGCCTGTCAAAAAAGTGTTCAAGTTTGAAGTTGTCAACAGGCATTGAGAAATGAAGAAGTTATACAGTCGAGCTCAAATCAAACTAATTATTTGCATTAAAAAGGGATAATAACCAATTCACATTTATTCATGACCTTTTTAGGAAAAACACAATTTTCTAGTATTAGGTTCAAAGTAAAAATTTTACCAAAAAAGAATTATTAAATCAGATATCCAACAAAGTGTGCATGGAAAGTTAGATCTGAAATAAGTAATAATACATAATCATAACAAAATATTGAAATGATATCATTTGCGTTTTTATTCAATGATTTTGAAAAACTCTAAAATTGACAAAAAAAATCCAAACTACATCCAAAGCCAATAGAGAAATTTCAGAGGTTTTCTTTCTTTTTGTCTCCGATCACCTTTGAAAAAATGTACTACTTGATGTGTCGCCAATTAAAGAACAGAAAATCTTGTGTACCTGATGAAGTCCCAACTTTTATCTTGTAAGCTGTATTACCCCTTTTTTATATTATTATGTTATCATTTGACGAGCTCAGTATATACTCCAAGGAACTCAAGTGAGAACTAATGATTTCCATTTGAATATTGTTTTCTCCATAGATCACTCAATTATTTGGAAAATATGCTATTTTACCTGAGAATAAACATGAAATTAGAAAAAGATTTTCAACTAATACAGCAATACATTCATTTTATGAAAAGCTTTTGCAGTAAATCAGAGCATGGGCCTGTTTGGAATATTTTGAGATCTAAGCCATGCCTTCAATTGTGTAAATGAAATCTTAGCAAAAAAATTTTTCTTATAGCATTAAAAGACTTTCTTTAGAGTGGATTTTATCTTTTCTGACAAATTGAAAACAATTTGTTATTATTAACTATCAAGGTAGAGGAATAAAGAATGAAAAATTTGAAAATTTTGGTTCAAACGTAGATGTACCACAAGGTTATGTGCTTGAACCGATGCTCATTTTGTTATATACAAATGAAACTGAATGTCAAATCTGAAAATTCTGACTTGATCATGGATGTACCACAAGGTTATGTACTTGGACCAATGTTCTTTTTGTTACATACAAATGAAGTAATTGCACTGATATGCTTTCCCAAGTAATATGCTTTTTATTATCTCCATTAAAGATATTAGATCAGTAGTGTAAGTCAGTGTGATTATCTTGAAACCAAATGAAAATAAATAATTAGGTTGGTTTAAAAGTTCTGTTCGTTTTTGTGTTCTGGAGCAGGAACGGGACCTCTTTTGTTGACCAGTAACTTTTGAAACAACCGAATATGTATATCTTTGACCTGCTAGAGGTGTAATATTGCTTGATGTAGTGAAATAAAGTACTGTTACTTTTATATATGATGTGACACTTCTGTGATGAATTACCTTCTGTCCATAATAAATCATTTTCGAACACGTCTTAATTTTCAAGGTTTGGGGTACTTCCAAAGGTGCCGCTCTAGTTCGAATGGCAGATCTCCTGCCTGCCATCATGGACCGAACCGAAGAGAACAAACTTCTGGAACACATTCGAAAAAGCCATCCCGACAAGAAGCCTCCTCATATTATTGATCTCTCGTCACCGACGCCTAAAGATATCCAAGTTAGTTTCTTGAAATTGAGAGAACTGTGTACTCCGGACAATACGAGAATTTTCAAAAGTCAGGATTTCAAATTCTATGGGTTGTTGGACGGTACCAAATGGTTGTTGCATGTTTCGACTTGTTTGACCAAAGCAATGGAGGCGGCAGACAAAATTTCCATGCATGGGTCAACAGTCGTATTGCAGGAAGGTATGCTTGCATTCAAAATTAGTTTAAATGACTTGCAAATGACGGTATTCATAATAGTCACTCAAGGTGCACCTACAAGTCTAGTTGGTTCATACAATGGATCGATAAGATAGGAAGTTTTATTGATCTTTCAGATGCATAGAACTATAGAAATAAGATGAGTTATGACTATAAAATGGAAATTTAAAGTTAAAATATCAATGAATATTATACTGCTCTTCCGTTAATTTATGTTGCATTGGATAGGACAGCTACATACTCGACAGTAGGTTAAATACAATTTGTAATCAACAGATCTCTCAGACACTTTTTGAACAAATATTGATTCAACTTCAACATTGTAAAGGTTAACATCAATAGAATTTCTGCTCGATTTTTTCAGTCTGAATCTACTAGCCCTTAATAAATAGCATTATCCTGTATTATAATCGTGAAAATCACAATTTCTGTCTGAGAAAAACCTAAAATTCAAATCCAAGAAAACCTTGATACTCGTTGGTGATAATTTTATATTCAATTTTTCTCGTTGCTTTTTTGATTCTCGTTTTAATTGAGTCTTCAACTTATTTCGTGTTATACAAAGATTTTTTAATGAGGTGACCTTTTTTTGTTGATGACTTTTTCAATTTATATTATAACTTGCATGTCTTTCTCATGATAATCATTGTGGAAAGTAAAAGAAAAATTATATTTTTAGGGAACGGTCAGGACATGAATTGCATAGTTTCCAGCCTAACCCAGTTGATCCTGGACCCCTTCTTCAGAACAAAATTTGGCTTTCAGTCTCTCGTCCAGAAAGAATGGGTCGCTCTAGGTCATCCTTTTGCCAACAGATTAGGACACATACTGGATAAAGAAATCGAACCTTCGCCGTTATTTCTTCTCTTTCTCGACTGTGTCTGGCAGCTACTGCAGCAATATCCGACAGCATTTCAGATCAGCGAGACTTACCTGACTACTCTCTGGGATTCAACCCATATATCTGTATTCGATACGTTTTTGTTCAACTGCACTCATGCGAGATTCATGGCAGAAACGGTAATTTGATAATATTGTTAGTTTTTCCCCGTGGGTTGATCAATAATTGACTACACTGAATAATCAAACTTAACTTTATTTCACTTGAAATACAACAAACACTTCAACTAAAAATTTTCTACTATTATTTTAACATCTATCGCCTTACTAGATTACTTCGCGTACCGCACTGTAACGTCCACTAGACTGTCTGAATGTCTATCGCCTTACTTGATCACTTCGCGTATCGCACTGTATCTTCCACTTCACTGTTTACTTGACTTTCTCGATATGCCCGCAGTCGGCGTTTAAATATCGTAATCGAACACCGTAGAATTTTCGCAGAAGTTCTTTGCTGCTTCTCGAGCGACAGGGAACATTGGGCATTCCTGCGCTCTTAGCTACGTCACGTTTGTTTTATGGTTACCAGTGGCGGCCGGCGTTACTTTCTTTCGGGCATGATCTACAACAATATATTCGCTATTAGTTGGTGATTGATTAGTTGATTTTATGTTTATATGTTGGTGGTACTATGTTGAAATATAATTGAAAATTATGTTTCGATGTTATTGTCACTAAGGCAAAACTTTTCTCGCTAATCCTAATTGGTTTCTTCGGTAGTACAACAGTTAAATTTTATGTAAACAGCATGAAATCTGAGTCAATTCTTATATTTAAAAATAATTGATCAAAAAATGAGGGAGTTGAGCAGCTACAGAAATGTTTAATAATAATAATCATTGAACAGAAATCAAAACAAGTTCGAGGACTGTAGTGAGAAGAGACACATACATATAAGAAAATACAATTTTGTAATATACATCTCTCCCAACTTACCTACACCGTAGGTTCCGGTAAATGCATGCCGGAAAACAACTTCTTCCTCGGCTGATACCACGCTGGACATTGAATTATGTCTGACAGACATTCATGCAAGATACTTCACAGAGGTTAGTCTTACAGATCTTTCTCGTTCATCTAGCAGCAGAACCATGCTGAAGTCAGTCGAGTAGATCACCTACAGACCAGTTTCGAGGTATTACCTCGTCATCAGTAGTGGAAAGATCCGACCCAAACAGTAGTGTGCCTGGGACTCGATTAATATCAACGCGGCTTGACCGCATGTATGAAACCTTCATCTAAGAGGATTATTGTTAACTACTAACAGCTCCATCTCGTGAACAACTATCCAGCGTGGTATAAGCCCGCGAAGTACTTGTTTTTTGGCAGGCATTTACGAGAACCTACTATGTAGTTAAGTTAGAAAAGATAATTTATTTCTATATCTGTATCGAAGCTATTTTCCGGATTTGTTGACCATCTTCTGCAGGTTTCATGCCTTACTTTTCGTCGACAACTGCGGTGGATGTGTTTAAAATATGTTTTTTCGTTTACCAGCTATCGCACCCCTACGAACGACAACCCTCAAAAGTCGAAACTTGTGCGAGCTAACGAGGTCTTACCTTTCAACGTGTGATTCCTAAAACATGTTGAACGATAGCAAGTGAAAATCGATCGTTCAGCCTGAGGCTTGAACCACCGACTCACACATTGGTCGATTGACTGAGTGAACAAAGCACCCAAGTCGAACCGACCGGCCATCATAGGTTTGGGTCTTTGGATGTATTCCATTGGTTTTGAGGGTGGCTTCATTCCTATTTGTTGAATTAAATTAACTATGTGAGAGCAGTCGAGTGCAGGTAGCCAGATTTTATAATTGTTGATTCTCTCTTTTCGGTTGAAGTCATTTCTGTGCTTCTGACTTTCTATCGACTCCTTATATAGTAACTCAGAGTTCTATTTGGGACTTGGATCTCCTTAAACGCGATAACGTGGGTACCTTCTCCAAGTGCATGTTCACCTACTGATGGTTTATATGCCCCAGGCTTTTGAAGAAACACGATAGAACCCACAGTTCAATCAACCAATACTGTACTTCATTATCTTGCTATAGCAAGCGCCAAACGTGATGGCAAGCGATCGCGCAGGTATAGACTCTCCCAACTAAATCACTATTGGATTATGATAAGACCCTTGCCGGCCAGTGTCGTACCTATGATTCGTTTTAATTAGGGTACCAAATGGAACATGACTTCTTTGTTATTTCTTCTGACATTTTCTTCTAACATTTTTTTAGAAACAACACAATGTCAAACGCCAACAGCATTGGAGGACAAATAACGATACGCCTCTGGACAGAGCATTTGTATGTCTTGCAATAGCTGTAGTGGGGGTTACATTGAAAATAAGTTTATGCGCATGGGGGCGGGCTCGCCATCACGTTTGGCGCTTGCTGTACACTGTTATTGACGAAGTGAAACATAGCAACATGTAGTTGTATACCTTTGTCAACAACGAACTGAAATAAGTCATACAATTAAATTTACAATAGCAGTTCTTGTACACAATCTTATCTAATTTAGATATTTAACATATAGATTTGTCAACATTGTCGTTTACTTTATCACTGAAGTATTTACGGGTAGTTACTATCCAAGACTATAAATGGAGGCAATACAAATTCAGAAGTACAGAAATAATTTCGACCTGAAGGAAAAAGGAATTAATATCAATAAAACCTGGCTACCTGCACTCAATTTCTCTCGTATCAGATCATTCAATTCAGCCAATAGGAATGAAGTCACACCCACCACCATTGAAATTAATTCGGAAACCCTAACCAATTCAATAGTGTGTTTCGAGGATAACCAGAACACTTCTCATACGTAGAACAATTTTGAAAAACCTACTCTGGTTCAACCTAAAATGAACCCATGTCAATAACTTCACACAGAAGCCGTTATATTCTTTAAAACTATTTAATAGGATTCAAAATTCTCTTTTCAATGATATAACAGTGCTCATTTCTATTCAAAATGGTTGCTTAGGAGCCCATGTTACCAAATTCAATATGGCGGCACTTCCATGTATCTAATGTTAATAGTTGCGTTCCCTATTATAGTACAGAATAAGTTGAACAGAACATCATTACATTTCAGGGATCAGCGCACCTGCATCCGCCTCTGATCCTGCGCAGTGTCTGGGACTGGCGGGAACAATTCTCAGATAGAGACATCGGCCTTTTTTGCAACCCTTTATTCGACGACAGCTTCAAAGAGCAACTCAAACCTCACACCGGCCTTTCCGGCATGGATATATGGCTCCAGTGCTACTTCAGGTGGTTGCCAGACCTTGAAATCCGAAACGGGGGCCATCCGCAAGTCGACCTGATCAGCAGATACATAGTGTCGGAGATACTACAGACCCAGCAAGGGATCGCCGATGTCAACGGCAGGGTGAATAGGAATAAGGAGGAGTGCATGGAGCTGATTAGAAAAGTAAATAGTTTTTTTCCGTTTAGCCATATTTCTGGACCAGTGTCTGGGGACCCCATCAACAACGTCCTGCTGTCTGGAGACACTTTAGATTCACAGTCGATACTTAATTTTAATAACGAATAGACGTCTCTGAGGCGGGTCAATGTACCATAGGAGAAAATATCGTTGAGGTATGAATTATTCGCTTAAATCTGCAAGGTTCTTAGCTGTGAATTTTTTGTCATCAAGTACACATTTAATATTATATATTCATCTCCCCAAAATGATTTATTCCCCATGGCGTACTGAAAAATCGAACTTATCGAAAGTTTTCATCCAAAACAATATTTCATATCTACGAGTGAATATAAACTTTATTTCAATAAGATTTTATTCTGTTTCCTCACATGTTGAATTTCAGGCTAAAATTTGTTTTTTAATTTATTTTGAAGAAGTTCAGTATTTGAAATTGAGAATGATTCGTTATTTTATACCTTTATGAGAACAATTATGTACAAGTATATCTAGTTCAGCTGTAAGATTTTGTTCTAACAAACCAAAAATGTTAATAACTATTATTTATGTTTTATTTATAATAAATACATTTTCAATTATTGGTTCTGTTTTATTGAATTCTCAGATTCAGTTGATGAAGCCTTAGTATGGGTTTGAGCCAAGATGCACAATCCCCTCATTCTAGGTAAAATAGATTGCATTTGGAAACGATTCTGGTTCCATCTATTAACGTGTGAACAAAGTTAGGAGAATCTCACGAGAGATTTTCACAAATCAAAAGCGGAAAAGTTTAAACACCAGTGTTTCTATGCATCTTTGTGTAAACCGAGGTGCATGTAAATTATTTTTTCAAAAACTATCGACCTAGGGCATTGTTGTTAAGTTTCAGCCAGAGGTACTGAGGACACTTAGAAAAGTGACACAGTTGGGACTGGCGTAAAATTGGTATTTCAATGTTATTTACATTTAGGAATGAATTAATATTAAATGGAAGATTTTTTACAATATGGCCCATGACTTCAAGATCTCAATAAAATTTGATCGACAAATTTCGATTCTTGCTCAATTTATCCACATGTGCACAAAGTTGGATGAATCTCATGTAGAGTTCTCACAAATAAAAAGTGAACAGCTAAAACACCATCAGGGTTACACCTGTTTAAAAAAAAATCTGGTTTTCCGTTAATCAGCTGTCGCCCCCATATGAACGACAACTCTGAGAAGTTGAGAAACGTGTGCGAGCTAAGGACTAACGAGGTCTTACCTTTTAACATGTAATTCCTAACACGTTTCCGATTCCTATGTGAAATATTTTGACTAAAACAATCGATTTACGGCACTGTTACTCTTCATAAAATAAAGGGATACAATGTACTTTGGCATTTCATTTGCAGAAGCGCTAAATGCACAATGGGTGAATTCGTTCATGTCATTGATCAGATTTGAAATTTAAGATATTTTTCGAAAAAGGTGCAGCATGTACAATGCAACGGTGCAATACAACATATTACCTACTGTGAGTACATGGATACTCTTTCAACCGAAGTAGTTTAAAAATTTAAAATAACTAGAAGGGTTTTTTCTAGAGAAGCCTAAAAGAGCCACAATATTATTTTCCACAGATTCAAACTTATAACTGTGAATTTTGTAAAAATATATTTAGTATGAAATTGTTAATGAAACGAGGACTAACGTAACCAAAATCATATTCAACTATTATAATTAGAACTTGAAAAAAAATATCACATATTTATTAGTTGAATGTAGGTTTGCCTAGGTTAGGTTATAGGCATAGAAATTATAATGGTTACAGGTTAGTCTTTAGCCAACATTTATTGTTCCGTGTGCAAAGTGTTCACTTATAACTTCACACTCATAAGTGTTAATTCACAGTTATTAGAGTGAATTTGTCAATTTACAGTTATAATTGGAAATTCAAACTTGTATGGATTCTGAGAAAAATAATATCGATTATTGTGGCCTCTCTACGATTCCGTATGTTTCTGTGATACAGAGAAGTGAAAAATTGGAATAAACAAGCAAGTTAGCGAAATCCTTAAAAACCTTCATCCTCATAGGATACCTGTTTCAGGACATGTCGATGGATATGATATAGAGCACTGCATTTTTTCTCAGTTGGCTACTATTTGTTTGTCAATAAGGACAGTAGTCATACTAATTGTTCGCACCGTTACCTACATTAATTGTTAACAATTCAATTAGAAATACATACAATGAGAACAGCAAATAAAACTCAGAAATGAATATTATGAACATCAACTGAACATAAAAATTACACTTGTAACAAATACAGAGTAGCAAACTTCAAAAAATATATATGTGCTACAAAATCCTTATTTATATAGACGGTGAGATTAATATGATATAAAAGACTTCCAATCAGTAAATGAATCTCAAAATGGATACTACAAACGGCATCTACAGATGACATTTGACACTTGAAAGCAAATAAACGAAACAGCTAGCTCAAGAAAATGCATGTGCTTCAAATGAAATCCCTATCCGAAATAATTCATCATAATCCTCATAGGATTTACCCGCTTTTTGGCATCACTGAAAATTGACAAGACAATAGGCGGCATTTAGATTTTTATTATAGAAACATAAAAAAAGTAATACAAATTATGAAACAACAAAAATTAATTGGCGCTCCGCTTATATTTGAAACGTCAAACTCAGAGATGATATTGATTATTGCAATAATCAAATAATCAAAAAATCGTAGTCAAAAATACTCTATTATTGTTTGTTCAAGTATTTCACTTTACGTTTTTAGTGTAATATTCGTTCACAGAATTATAAAACTCGCGCTTTTTGATGACCAATAGACTTTTAAAAAATATTGTTCACTGAGCCAGTGTAATGAATATGGACAATTCAACGAGATGATTTTACCTCAAAATACAATATATTTTCATGTATATTTCAGAAAATGATATCCAACCCGTTTCTTTTTTCTTTGATTTTGCGTTGACGCGCGCTCTCTTGCGGCAAAGGTATTCACGAGGCATATTATACTTCTCTATGGTAAATTTTAAAATTCAAAGGCCTTTCGGTACGTAGATGTATGAAATATTCTAGAAGACGCGCACTAGCAAAGCTACATTTTCAACATATTCGATATAATTTGCAATCTTTCATTGTATATCATTCCACTTTTTTGCGGTTGTGGAAAATCATAATACATATACATACAAAAGGTATCCACAAAAATCACGTTCAGTCAATAATTTCGTGGAACCATTTATATCGTTTTCTTCATTTATTTTATGGTGTACCTAGTTGTAGTTTGAACTCATTTCAAGGAAAACCGGATACATGAGAATTTACCTAGAGTTTTCCTATAAATATTCAGCAGCTGTTATCATTAACTAGCAGCTGCGTTATCAACTTACAACCGTTATCAACTTTCAATCGAAACGAAATTTTCGACATAAAACCTTACATAAAGTTTAGTTTTATTCGAATTCAATGGTTATTCAACCCGTTGATAATCTAAATTTAGAAAGTAGGTATGTTCGTCCAGCAGTGAAAGTTGTAAAATTTACAGCAGCGGTCAAATCCAATAATATCATCGAATCTGCTCCCTCAAAAACATTACATATTTCAATTGGTGTAGACAGACATTAAAATAATAATAATAATGGAAGGAGACGCAGATATTGTCATACTTAGAGAATGGCTGATGAAACAAACGCATCTGCCACAAAAAATCGGTGAGTATGCATTTTCATCATTGTTGCTTTGCTTTTTAAGAGTTTCACATACTCGTATAGGTGAGAAATTTAAAATGTCTTTGAATATCCAGATAACTAATAATTTAATTAAGCTTTCTTGAACCAATTTGTGAGAAAAACAACTTCAGGTGGAATTTTCATAAAAAATATTTTTTATAATGACTGCTCATGTTAGGTTAGACATTTATGAAAAATGCAATGCAAGATTTTTCTGAAAATTTCACGTCTTACATTTCCGCATTGTTCTATCCAACTGAACTATTTCAACTGAACTACAATGCTGAATTATTTTCAGCATTGCGATGTTGCCGCTGCTATCAAAAAGTCCTAGCAACTTACATAAAATATAGTAACTTTTTCGACATAAATAATTTGGGTTAAATATGGGCAATTAGACAATGATTCAAAACATACCTAGCCATCATTGAATTTAGGCAAATTAGTTCTTACAATTCATGAGAAGTTTATATTTTGACAATAATTGGGAGAAACTCAAAGTACCTATGTAATTTATATGGAGAAATCGACTCCGTATCACATACAGGGCGTGCTAAAAATGACTTGAAGTTCGTTATTTCAATGAAACTCACTGTATATATTACTATTACTACTACGATGCCTAAATTATCAAATTTTCTCAATAAAGCCGCATATTGGTGAAACATATTATTACAGATTTTAACTTTACGTAGCCAAGGAAATGTCAAGCTTAAGATAGTTTGGTGACTATTTCTTCAACATATTTTTGTTTGTATAAAGATAGTATAGTCTATAAACAGAAAATGAGTCATACTATATTTTATTGTTATACTATGTATGTATAATTTATATAATCACCTAATTCATTGTCATTATCACATCACAGGCGTTAAAAAAATTAAACTATAAATCAGATCAAATATATTTGATAGCCTTACATTTGCACTAATAAATGACAAATGTATTATGGATGTTATTTTTCCTAGGATTAACTGAAGAAAATGCTTTCGAAACAATATTTGAGCAATGAAATGGAGAAAACAGTTTGTATCATTCCATATTGTGGCTACATCGTAACCAGCATCATAACCTAATTGGAGACCTAGTTTTCAGCAAAATTTGTTGTTTTCAAATTTATTTCTACGTTTATTATCAAAGATAAAAGTCGATAGTGATGAAGACATCCTTTACAGCTACATGGTTATTCAGAAAAAGGATTATATAATACAACGTTTCTAGTATTTTGCATTATGGAGACGCCAATCAACAATATCAACCTTTGACACGGAATGTATAAATAGGACAGTATCAAGTTGGGTTCGCGTGAGTGATTCGTCCACTCATTCAATCAACCGTCAGGTGGACCGGTGGTTCGAGCCCGAGGCCGGACGATAAATTTTCACTGCATATGATTCAACCTGTGCTACGAATCGCACGTTAAAAGCTAATACCTCGTTAATCCTTAGCTCGCACAAGTTTCGACTTCTGAGGGTTGTTGTTCGTAGGGGGGCGATGGCTGGTTCAGAGATATTAGGAAAGATACCTGAATGAGTCATCATTTTCCAATATTTTTACTTCTTTTAACTCTTCTGAAGAGACAATTCTCACATTCTGGTGTTAACAACATTTTTAATTTCAAACGTTACATACTTTTGAAAATGTATTGTTGTGTTTCAGAGGATAAACTCCTCAAGAGGTATCTTCAAGCTTCAAACAACAGCATCGAACTTGCCAAAAACTTGATCGATTTATCTTTCACTCTAAGAAGTCAAGCGCCTGAAATATTTGCAGAGAGAGATCCGACCCAATCAAGCTTACAATCAACTTTTGAGATAATGTAAGTCTAAATAAAGTTTTAAATATGTAATAACGAAACATTTTCAGAGATTACCTCCTTCTGCCCCAACGATTGAACAATATAAATATTTTCCTTTATCGAATTACTTCAAACGACGTGGATAAATACGATTTCATAAATGGATGCAAGGCATTTTTCATTTTCTCAGACACAAGAATGATTGAAGAAGAGGATATATCAGATGGTGAAATTCCGCTGTTTGATATGAAGAATTTCTCTGTAAAACATTTGACTAAGATCGTACTCCCCGTTTTGAGAAAATATATGGTGTATACACAGGTAAATATTGTTTAGCAAAAAGGTCTTCTTTCAACTATCCCTATATAATTATAATAATCAAACTTTTAACACTGATTTTAATATGTTTTAAAAGAATAGTCCTTTATTTTTATATTAGAAATGAATATGCTTCAACAATATAATTGTAAACTATTCAACCTTTTCAGAATATTACTGTTTTGGACTCAATTTTCCACTACAGTTATCTGTATAGGTCGTGATTAGTATTATTCTTCAATTCCTAAAGTTTATGAATTTTCAAACTATCATTATCATTGATTTCATAGTTTTTACTATTCAATTTGATTCAAATTATTTGCATATGATCCCTCTGCATGAATAAATGTATAATTTCATCAATAGCTAGTGGTTAACGCAATCAAATGCCTCATAAAAGTAAATGGAATATTGAAATATGGACACTTCACCAGCATTTACTTTCGAAAAAGTAAATGATTCATTAGAAAATGGTCTGTTATTCAACACACCACCCCAGTTTAAAGCATAAATTGCATGTATTCAGCAGGGATTTAATTTATTTATTGTAAATACCTGCGCCTTTGCATCTAATATAATGTCCCAATGATTTATTTATATTCCTGTTGGTTCAAGATCCAATTATCAATTCGTTATGTCTCTGAAAACACTTCACACTCTTATTCTTGAAGCTAATGTATCACATTCAGGAAATGCTCGAATAAAGAAAAGGTGATTTGGTGTAATATTTGGATATTATAACATGGGTTTTGCCGAATAAACTCGTTAGTATATTTTTTAGTGATTTGAATAAAAAAATTTTTTTTTATCAAGTTGATACAACTACATCATGAAAGTCTAGAACTGATGGTACAACTGAATACTCTTCATCACTTTCTGCTCAACTCAAATCAACATTATTTTGGGAGTTCTTTGCAAAGAAAACCAATAAACTCATTCTTATTTTTGCTGAAATTTTTCTTAGTTGAATTTGTATTCTTCGTATATCTACCATGTTTCTTATATGCTTCAGTTCCATCATTATTGTATCCATAAAAAACAGGGATTTCAAATCAATTTATATTATATTAGACAATGGAAGTCCGAACTGATGAAATATACATAACTTTGTTCCAGCTTCAGGTTTTCGATGTCAAACAAATATAAATAAAAATTTGAACAAAAATCCTATTAAAATTGAAGCTATTTCTGAAGACTCCCACAAAAAAGACATCATTGGTTTGACAATGTTTAGTATTTTGACTCGTTCATTAAAATTTTATATACATATACCACTGTACACAAATTTCATGGTAAATTAATTATTTTGTAGATGTATTTATTAGATGTTTCCACATTACAAATAAGTTGCCATGAATGAATGTAAGAAATAAGTGCTTATTATATCACATGTTAATATGTGGGATACTATCCAAACAAAAATAAGATGTATCTATTAAATCACTTCATAACAACCCTGGAAAAATCAATTGGTAAGATTATCTGAGAAGTCTTAAACTTTTTAGGTGCAACAATGGGGTGTAACAATGCTTGGGTATTTGAGAGGTTATCAGTAAAAGACTTGTTTGTTGTTTAGCGACGAATGTTTTGGTTTCATTGTCTGACAAACAAAACTGAAAACCTAAAACAGAATTTGTTGTTTCATGACAGAGAAGATTTTTCTCCTGGTGGTTGAGTATTTTTTTTCGTCAAATGATATGAATGTAAAATTTCAAAATGATTATACCCCATATGGATATTCCAGAACAATGAATTTACTATTCTGGTTTTCTAGAGTATAATAAACTTCCAGCCCAACTGAAACAATGTAATACGTTGTCTAACTTCAAGCATAAAATAATGGAACTTCTTCAAAATGAAGTACAACATTTGATAATAATCAAGTGCAGTAATAATGAAGTTTTAAAACGTTAATATGCAAAAATCCGAATTTGACTATTGGGATCTACCTATTATTATTATTATTGTGCTTTATTTGTACACACCTCAATTACTTTTCAGTAGTGTGAATTCTGTAATCTTTCAGGAAGCCCATCCCATGAATCTGAAGCAAATCCATCTACTGAATGTCCCCCCGTTCTTGGACCGCATGATGATGCTCCTCAAACCCCTAATGAACAGTGAAGTTTCCAAAATGGTAATGTTTTCTCAATCTTCGATGCCAACAATTAATAAAGATTTTTCAGCTTCACTTTCACTCTCCCAATTCAGAAACGCTGTTCGATTACATTCCACGGGACTTCCTTCCCGAGGAGTACGGAGGTACGAAAGGCAAATGTGCGGACATTAAAAAATATTGGTCAGAAAAGATTATCAAAAGGAGGGATTACCTCATAGATGATGCTCGGTGGATAGTCGACGAAAGCAAAAGGCCTGCCGAGAATAAGGGAAAGCAGATGTATAGCGTACAGGGATCATTCAAAACACTCAGTATAGACTGATGAAGTTGTTGCTGAATGTAATCGTAGATCAGTAAGACTTGAAGGGTTGGTATTTTATTTGAATTTTCTGGGAACATTTTAGTTTGTAATTCTCAAGAGGAAGATGAGGCGAACTCGAGAAGAAAATAGATGATATTCAATGTCAATAAAAAGAGAAGATACATTGTAAATCAAGCACAGGGTTCTTGTGAGATACATTGAAAAGAAATATATTACTAATGTGATGAAATTATGAGTATATCAGTATTCAGGCAGAAAATGTTTGCCACTGAAACATTCAGAAAATTGTATTATTATATGGTATAATTGAAAAAAATATTTTATTTTTCTTCCTCTTCTTCCTAAAATGAAAAATTATTTCAATAGTGGTCTCTTATTCTAATAATACTACTTATTATATGAAGGGTCCACTGCAATAATGAATGTCCTTTTTTCTTTGTTTCGAGAGAATTGGATTTTAATTTTATATATGATGTAAAAAAACTACGATCTTAAGATGAGAAAATATTTTTCATTGTAGTTAAAGAAAATATTTCATAACATTATTTCTTTGGCAAATAATCATTATTTGGGTATTATAAACTAATTGAAATGTAGTGAAATAAGTCTTCAAAAATCAGGACTATAATGATCACTGTCCACAGTCAATAATGATAGTTGTCCAAATGACTGATTTAATGAATCAACTCTGATTCTTTATTCTTTTATTTTCGCAGAATGGGGAAGTTCATCGTAATAACGTCTCGTTTCAGGCCTACAGAACTTTTTCAGGGATTGCAAGTCATTATATTTCACTGTTGTTATAGACAGCTTGTCTTTGTAAGCTAAACCAAGTAATTTAAATTCTCCCACATTGATACCTGCCGTAATATCTCGACAAGACACTGGTGTGTTAATCACACTTGATTCCCATTGACTATTATTTATTAAAATTTCTGTTAAACATGAGCATTGGATGTTCTTTCTGGACACATGAATTCTCTAAGTGGTGTAAAATACTGGGTTAACAGTCAATGTCCAGCAAAAAAAAAAAATCTCCTAT